AAGTTTTATCTTGCAATACAAAATTTTAATCAATCACAATTGTATATCTACATTATTTACCGGATTAATAATACAGAAATTACAGTTCAATTACAAACAATTAATTATTTACAGTGATTTACAGTAATTTTATTAAATTATACGAATATTCTCCTTGATTTATTGGTTTGAAATAAATATGACAGTGTGAAAATGAGAGTTACTAACTTTAAATTCTAATTCTGACCTAGAAAATAGGCTAGATACCTTACCTAGATCGTTATTCAGAAGTTACAAACCTATCGATAAAATATGCATAAAAATTTACTTTCTAACACACAAGGTTGGTACAATATCTAGTTTATTGCAGTGATTTTCATAGCCGCGTATGGCACAGATCGTTACCCAGTGTTACCATAAGCTTATTTTTCATCGGGATAGATTATCACGAGATAGCGAGGTTAAATTGTTTTACAAAAGGGTAGATCTACCCCGAATGGTGTAGCTGTGACCTGCAACACTGCCGCTATCACTTTTCCTCTCGCGCGTCACGGCTTTGAATTTTTACTCCCAACGCGCGCAAAAAATAATTTCACTTCAATAAACAAGAAAAAATTTAAAAATATTTATAGTGTTTCGTCATTATTTTTTATTATAATTTGATGAGTGAAGATATTTCAAAAATTTATAAAAATTGAATTCTGGCTTTAAGGAGCGATTCCTTAGAAAAAATGAAAGGGAATTATATAAAAGTTGCATAAAAAAATGATCACTATATAAGATGGCAGAAAAGTAATGTATTAATTTTATATCCTAAAAACTAAAAATGATGAATAATGCAATTTTATGGGATTTTTCCTAAAATGAGAGAACATGTTCGGCATTTTTTAATCTTATTGAAATGAGAATACGTGGTTGAAATAGGCTACCCGTATTTTTCTTGTTAACTAAAATTTACTAAAAACGTAGGCATTTAAAAAAATTCTGAATCATTTTAAAATTTTTCTTTTACTTCATGTATTTTTCAATACCAAGTTGAAATTAAAAAATAAGATGTTGAGTCAGGATTTGTTTGCTGGCGGGGCCGCTTTATAACAACACGCTATAAAAAATGTCTACACCTATGAGGCGGACTCATCTCTCCAAAAAAATCCTATATGGGTATTTCGTCACTGCAAGAAAATCTACAAATTAAAATAGTTATTTTTTTGTAAACACTGTTGCGTTAATCCAACGGAAACTACTTGTCAGCAGTTAAGCTTACTGATAAACAAATTTGCCTAACGAACAAAAAAATGTTTTTCGGAAAACGTTTCGGAAAGTTTATATCTCTTTCGTCGTCGGAAACAAACAAATACAAAGAATAAAGAAAAAGAACTACTGACAATTTTTAAATGCAACTATTCGAGAACACTTTAGTTTTTTTAAAACAGATACGTCTACAAAAACTGTTATCTGTTTTAAAAAAAAACTAAAGTTTTCTCGAATAGTTGCATTTAAATAGTTTTTTTTTCTTATTTTTTGCTTACGACGACAAAAAGAGAAAAACTTTCCGAAACGTTAAGCATTTTTTTGTTCGTAAGGCAAATATTATTATATTTATACGTTAGGCAAATATTATTATATATTATCAGTAAACATAATTGCTAACAAGTAGTTTCCGTTGGAAGAACGCATCAGTGTTTACAAAAAATGACTATTTTATTTTGTAGATTTTCTTGCAGTGGCGAAATACCTATATAGGATTTTTTTTGAGAAACACACTGTACTTACGTATTTTTTTTTATTTTTAAGAAAGAAGCACCCCTCGCATTTTCTTACATTTGTTTTGATCCACTCTGTATATCTATTTAGTTAATTTGATCGTAAAAAGCCAATTTATATAGGTAAAAGACCGATAAAATTGGCATACTAAGGCCAATATTTTGAACCAAATTTCGGACGTGATTTATTTTAATCAATTGGGAGAGACGAAGAACGTACGAGGAAATGCGTGAGGGAAAACTAAGTAAAAAGTATCTTACAAACATCTACTTTCGCTTCAATTAATTGTTGAAACGATGAGCTAATTAATATCATTCTAGAAAAGGCTATATTAAAGTGTTGTACGAAATCGTTTGCAAGGACGCACATCCACACACAGAAATACCTACATCTACCACAATTATTAGGCTGACAAGCAACTGGAAAGGTCAACCGTTAAACGGGTGTATCGTTTAATACACGCGCTTTGAACAGATGCCATTGTCGAAATAGAACAGGTTATTAACGGCTGGAATATTGGACGAGGAATATTGGAAATAGCTTTTTTACACTCTGCTGTAATTAGGATGTTTTTCTTCGTAATTTTTAATTACTGGTCACTTAGCTATGAGGCTCTTCATCTTACCTTGCCTTGCTCTATGCAGAGTGTAATAACCTCTTGCATGTTATTATGGTTTATCTTACCAGTGATTTACTAAAATAGTGAGAGCTTGCATTTTTATACGTTTGTTTTTAGCTTATACTGACGAGACTGGCAATTTTATTACTGGTTAGGCTTAAATGATTATGCTAGTTTTTACGATTACTTTTTTTCTGTTATTTTGAGCACAAACGAAGTTTACCAAAAAAGCTTATTTATACAGGGTGAGTTTTAAATAAGTGCAAATATTTTTAGGGGTAGTATGTATATTTCGACACCAGAAACACGATTATGAGGTATTTTCCGCGAAAAAAAAATTTGAAAATTTGATTTTTTTTTAAAAATTGGCGCCGGGAGGCACGTATGGTCGCCCATACTAAAATATGTTAATAAAAAGATGGTAGGCAGTTTTTTTAGTTTCAAAGTAAAGGAATTTTTCCAATAATTTTTTTTTATCTCAAAAACTGCGACTTTGACTGATTTTGATGTTATTACAAATTTTGTTGCAAATATTATTCCTAATCTTAAATTGAAAACCGCGTCTCGCTAGCTACTGTAATTTTGGAGTTACGATTTTTAAAAAAAAATACCCATACCTCCTTAACAACCCCCCACCCCCACTAAAAACTAATGACCAGATTCTCGGGTGCCCCAATATTTTTGTGCCAAATTTGGTTAAAATCGGTTTAGCGGTTTTGGAGTTATCGTGTTACAGACAGACAGACAGACAGACACCATGAAAATATTTTCTATTTAGGTCATTTATGACACAAATAAGTAATTTTGAGTGAAATTAAAAAACCTTTTTTTTGCCAATCTTAATAGCCTACCATACCTGTTAGTATGATCGGCTAAAAATTTTGGGAATTGTTTTAGTTTTAAAAATATAATTTCTTTTAATAATATCGCCACCTAGGTAGTAGATTAAATGTACAAGGAGCTACAAAAGATGCAGTGGTTCTCAAAATTGAAGCAAAAAGTAATTTTTTTGAAAATCTTCAAAGTAAAATAACTCGGTTATTTAGAACATATTTGAAAAACGGTAAAGAGAAAATATGTTTCTTTTATCAAGACCTTACCAGGAAAATAGATACTTAAATATCTACTCTAATAATTTCTTTACACCATTAATGTCACTAATAATAAATTTACAAGAGAGCAGTTTTATCGACATCTCCTGCTACAATATTTCTCTGTCCCAACCACTGAAGGTATTTTTATATTTCTTTAGGTAAAGGGATTCACTTTTAGGTGGAAGTACCGCTTGTCGGGCTTCTTCAGCGTTTTTTTTTAATATTTCTTCTTATATTTTTTAATATTACCTACATTTTAATGTAAATGTAGTCGCACGTGTGCTCAATTTGTACGAAATGCGTTTTATGACAAAAAACTGAAACATGAAGAAACTGAAAAAATACTAGTTTTCCTACTCAATGATCAATTCTATCATACGATAGAAAAAAAACGGCGTGAAAGACGTCTGTGGAATGCCAGTCGATAATAATTTTGTAGGATAAAGCCCTAGACGTCACCACTTGGCCCGTACTCTTTTTTTATTATTTAATAATATGCTTTTTTATTATTTAATATATTTATATATAATATAAATATATGAACAAATATGGTATCCCTATGTTTGATTTGTAAGAAAAGAAAATCTCAATAGAACAAAGTTGGAAAATATGAATGGTTAGCAAAACTAAAATATTTTTTGAAGCAGACGTTCTCTCAAGAACTTATTCTCTTTACCTTTACAAAATTTATATAAGCTCCCAAAACGATTGTTGATACGCTTTCCTGCAAAACATGTTTGTTGCATTTTAACATATATCAACAAAAATAACATATTTATTCAAAGAATTTTATCAGTTAAACAGAAAATCTCTTTATATGCAGACGAAATAAAGTTGATAAAATATAAGAGAAAATATAAGGTTGATAAAAACGGAAATTTAACATTTGCAAATATTCTGAAGAATTGGGGAATATTTATTATAAAAATGACGCTACTTTAGGCGATTATTGCTTAGTGTCTTTATTACGTGTTTTGTTTTATTACTTTTAAGTAAACGTAAGATAAGTATCTTACTACATCTTATAGACAGTTATTTTTTCGCACTTCCAAGTCCCTTTAAATTATCTTAGTTAATGAATTAAACTACTAATTCCTAAATTATTGTTAACATAAGTGATATAAAAAGCATAAAACATTTTATAAAGTGGACATACACGATGTCCCAGAAATAAGTGAAATTATGTCAAGGGATGGTAGACCTGACTAAAATAAAACATTTTCTCTTATCGTTTTTAAAATAAATTGATAATAACCAAGTTATTTAACTTTAGATTTTACAGAGATAAATCGCAACATTTTGGAGTAAAATTTCAAATGCGTTGACACAACCATCGATCAGCTGATCTATGACCCCAGGGAAGCTGTGCTGGCGTTGGTCGCCTTTATTGCAACATTATTAATAGTAAATAAAATTCAATGACATTAAGTGTAACATGATTCTCCCAGTACAACTTTCGCTAGTTAGTGTTATTAAATTTGATCAAATAAATCAAAATGCGTTTATTTCATCAAGGAATCGACAAAATATCAAGAGACAATTTTTTTAACTAAACGGCCAACAATTTTTCTAACAAGAGGAAAGAAAGTCAGTGGAATACATGTTTTTTTACAAAAGAATTTTAGTGATAACCCATATGAACTTCTCTGGTGAATATGTTGAGACTTTTTAGCGTTAAAATATGTAGCACTTTTACCCTCTAAGTTTTATTAAACGCTACAAACCATTTTTAAAACAATTTCAAACGTTGCAAATAATATAAAAGATTTAAAAGTCATATCTTGTATGTAATTATCCTAAGTAATTATATATCGAGAAACTATGGTTACAGCTCGTTGAATTTGACACATGTCAGTTTTAGTTACTTTTTATACAAGACGATAAAATGGTATTTTATCGTCGACCGAAAAGATTAATTCACGAGCGACGAAATCGCGAGTGAATTAATTTCAGGAGAAGATAATGCAATTTTATCGTCGTGTATAAAACAGTATTTTTTTCCATAGCGAGTTACGTTTTAAAAGAGTAGAAAAAATATTGTGCTGGGTTGGCGTTGGTTTCTATGTAATTTGACAAATAAATAAAGCTGTCTCTTTAGTTGTCAGTTTTGAGTAAATATTTTTTAATTCTCTTTCGTTGCTGATCGAATTGGAGCCATAAATGGCTCAAAACGAAATAAGTAAATTACCAACAGATATTGAGGCTGAGGCGACAAACGCCATATCCAAACTACTTCCATTTAAATTCCGAATAACTTATGAAAAGGAATACAAAATTTTTTAAAAAAGGAAGCAATTAAAAAACGTGCGAGAAGAAATAAAGTTTTTAACCTATCCTCGCTAGTTAAAGTATCATTTAATCTACCCTTTCGGTTAAAGTACTATTTATCTAGTATTTTTGATAGATATGAGGCAATTTTAACAGTTGCTATGGAAAAAAATAATATATTTTCGTACTTCTTTGCCATTAGGCGTAAAAGTGCTTTACTTTTAAGCCTAGGCGTTAAAATGACTTTTTTATATTGTCAATCACGTCGCAAAAAAATACTTTCGTGACGTTTGAAAAAAAAAACTTTTTTTGGAATAAAACTAGCTTATGGTGTGTCTTAATATTCTTTTCATTATCAAAATTTCTAAGGAGCACGTAACCTAACCTATAATTTTTAATAACCTTATTCAATAATTAAATTAGGAATCCTTAATATTCTCGTCGCGTTTTATTTACACATCTATTAATTTAAATATTATTAAAAGAATAATTACATTATTTAATTTTTTGTTTGTTTTAACGCTTGTGATAATAACCGATAAATATTCGAATTTATTAAGTTTATTGCCAACCAAACGAGCAAAATCAGAACAGCGAACTATTT